ACTTGAAAACAAGTGACTTGGGCAAAAGTTAGGGCATCCCTCTTGACTTTAAAATCAAAATTCAAAAGAATTTGTCCAGGAAAAAGTTAGGGAAACGAAAAAGAATGAAAATCATGAAAAGCGAAAAGGATTGCCAACGAAAAAACCTCAACAAAGAACAAAGTCGTGTGATTAGACACCAAGAATAAAAGGTGAGTGATTTTCATGTCCAAGAAACCTCAGTGGTTCCTAACCAATCCTAAACTCCTCTTGAGAGATGAGTGCTCGCATCGAGTTAGCTGAACGTAAGACTGGAGAACATCAAGAAGAATGGGTGGGTACAAATAACTTTGAGCCTTAAATCCTTTTTTTTGAAACAGTGAACCCGACCACGTTACAACCCTTAGAAGTCCTAACTGAAGCATGGGTTATTTCAAAAGGATACTATAACAAGAGTACGGTAATCTGACTCCAAGGAGGCTTGCTAAAACTTTTGAATTAGTATCACTCCATCTTTTACTTCCTTTCATGCAAAAAAAATTGATGTTACGACATCTTTTCAATAAAAAGTATTTTAAGCTTCAAGACAAACATGAGCTTTACATTAGAATTAGAATTCTCATAATAAACATTCTTTGTATGTAAAAAAGTGCTTGACATCAAGGGAGCTTGCATAATGAGCATCAGATGAAGAGTTTGATTATCCTGAGGGACAAATTATTTCAAGAATCTGTTGAAGAGCAAATCATTTAGAAGAATGATCTTAATCTGGGGAAGACCTTCTAATGACTCTGTTGAGTAAAGGAAGACCGGTTTGAGAAATTATCAGAAGTCAATTGTCTGGAAATTTTGATGATTGCAAAAGTATGATCGCCTAAAGGTCTTCGTTGAGAAATGGTATATTACTTTCAATTGGTCCTAAGGGACAAATTACTTCAAATATATGTATGAGCATGAACTTGATATTGTTGAGAAGTATGGTTGTGAGGTAGCCTACTTTCAAGACACAAGTCAATCACCTTAATTGAATGTTGTCTGCAAGACTCCATGAGCCTATCATTCCTTCGTGAGCATGAGGTGAAGAAATATATTTTCAAGACTCTGTTGAGCAGGGGCAAGATATTTCAATGTTAGCACTCCATTGAGCAGAGGTAAAAGTATCTCAAATTTTGATTACCCTAAGGGGCAGAGAAGCAGTTGAATACTTTGTTGAGTAAGAGTTCAGTCAATCTGGGGAAGTTATGTCAATATTCGAAGAATCTCTCAAAGTGACGAGTAATCAAGGGCAGACACCCAAGCGTGGTGGAAACCATCTCCAACATTGGCTTAGCCAGGGGTAGTGTTCAACAATTCATAATACTAGGGCAGATTATCTTTGATGGTATAGATCTCAGGCAATCCCCTCGAGGAGAATTTCTTCAAAAGCCCTACAGACTAGGGCAAGGCAGTAAGAAGGGGAATTTCCTCCTTTTCAAGAGTTGATCAAGTTAAGTCCGGGCACAAGCTAAATAACTTGTGATTTTGAAGAGCATGTCGGGAAGTCGGGATTGTTATCCTCGGCTCATTAGAGATTTAAGTCCAGGTAATTGGCGTTCCTCCATCAGAAGTCAGAGATTTAAGTCCAGATTATTGGCGTTCCTCAGCAGAAGTCAGGGCTCTATTCTTGAAGTTCCCAACAGATATCTTTGCTTCTACATATTGCATATATTAATCATCATTATATTACATTGCATCCTCAAAACTATGTAGCATTTCCATTGATATGGACCATTATGCTAAAAAAATATCTCAAGCATGCATTGAAGCATAAGTCAAATTCAAGTCTTCCTCGCAAACACCCTTTGTATCCCCAGTTAGGCTGGTGGAACCTCTCCGAAGAGAACTTTATCCCTCAGATATCCCAAGTGACATTTCCCGCTGGTTTTTCTCAAAATTATATCTTCTTGTTGTTGTTGTCTGCAAGAATTCTTGACCTCGTGTCAATTTATTGCAAATCCGCAATCTGATTCATATACCATGCGTCTTTCTTTTTAAAACTCTTATTGTGTTATTTTTACCCTTTGTTTTCCTTTGCAGTTAGAGTGTGAGTCAGAGTTTGTGTATAACCTGTCTTTCTTCTCAATTGTTTTAGTATCCATACTTTGTGTATGGCAATTCAGATAATTGTCACTCTTGAGTAATTACACCCCACTTTTGCTTGGGGGATAATGTAGTTCTTTTGCCTTTTGCAAACACTCAGTAACTATCTTGAAGCCTAGCTCTGGTTGGCAACCTTTTAAAACCTAACTTTGGTTGGTAACCTTTTAAAACTCAACTTTAGTTGGTAACCTTTTGAAACCCAACTTCAGTCAGTAACCTTTTAAAACCCAACTTCGATCGGCAGACTTTTGAAACCCAACTTCGGTTGGTAACCTTTTAAAACTCAACTTCGGTTGGTAACCTTTTGAAACCCAACTTTGATTGGTAACCCTTGAAAAATCTAGTGGATACTAGCATTTCCTTCGAAACCTAGTGGTTACTAGGATTCCTTTCAAAATCCAGCCTTGGTTGGTGCACACTTAAAATCTTTCTTACCTTTTGTGAGTCCCCTTACTGCCTTACGCATGATTGATGTGTTTTGTTTCTGACCCTCGAGTCATGAGTTTCTAACCCTTGAGTTGTGCTTTGTTTCTTTTCCGACCTTCGTGTCGTGATTTTTCAACCTTTTGGGAGTTTCCAACCCCCGAGTCGTGAGTTTTCAATCTTTTGCGAGTTTCCGACCCTCGAGTCGTGAGTTTTCAACCTTTTGGGAGTTCCTGACACTCGCGTCGTAAGTTTTCAACCTTTTGGAGTTTTTGACCCTCGTGTCGTGAGTTTCCCACCTTTTGCTTCCTTTCCGACCCTCAAGTCATGAATTCCCAACCCTCGAGTTGTGACCTGTTTTCCGACCCTCGAGTCGCGAGTTACCAACTTTTATCCCCTTTCCGACCCTCGAGTCATGAGTTTCCAACCCTCGAGTTGTGATTAGTTTCTGACCTTCGAATCGTGAGTTTCTAACACCTGAGTTATGTTTTGTTTTTTGTCTGACCCTTGAGTCATGAGTTTCTAACACCTGAGTAGTGTTTTATGAGTTTCCGACCCTCGAATCGTGAGTTCCTAATTGTTCATTGCCTTTCCCACCCTCGAGTCGTGAGTTTCTAACTTTTCGTTTTCTTTCCGACCCTCGAGTCGTGAGTTTCCGACCCTCGAGTCATGAGTTTCTAATCCTTCATTTTCTTTCTGACCCTCGAGTCGTGAGTTTCTGACCCTCGAGTCGTGAGTATCCAACCTTTTGTTCCCTTTTCAACCCTCGAGTCGTGATTTCTCAACTCCTGAGTTGTAGATGTTCATCATATACTTCCCCAACAGTTGTTTTTCAACATCTGGTCATCTTTTTTGTTGTCTTTCATTCATGAATTTCTGAAATGTCTGTTCTCTGCCCTGTGCACGAGAAGTCTTAGTCCCTAGTGGAATTTGTATTCACCTTTTGCAAGTACGCTTGGTTAAGCATCCTTTCCATCTTCTCATTTTCTTTTTGCAGATATGCAACATATTGTTCTCTTTCCTTTGTGGAAATCCTGTGGGAATATTCGTCCATTACCTGCCAAAGCTTGTTAGTGGAGCCATACAAAAGAAAAAAAGTCATAAATATATTGTCCACCTATTCTTTGGAGTTCAAATTTTATGATTCTTTTAGTATTTAATCCTTTTCTACCTTGAATGTTCGAAAGGCTAGCGCCAATCTCACCTTTAGGTTTAAGATGATTAAATAGGGGCAGTTGTTATATCCCAAAATTTGTCCTCCTAACTTATTGTTATTTGGCTTAGGCTTAGCATTGCATTTGCATCTTTTCATTAGGTCATTTAGCATTACATGCATTTGCATTCAATAAAACACCTTGGTTCAAAGGATCAATAATCATGCCAGTCAGGATTTTCTATTGGTTTTGAGATACATATCAAATAAAGTTTAAAGTTTGATTTCTTAGATTCTTCTTCAAGCATTGGTTGTAGAATTAGGGTTGAAGTGTGGTTATCCTGAACTTCTTTTCTCCTCAAATTACAAGGCTATTCTCCAGCAATTATCATCAAGAATAAAGGAATTAAGGTCTCTAATCCTTTATGTTTGAGCTTGGTTTGATTTTCATTTGAGGTGTTATTATAATTACAGTCAAGTGGCTTTCTCAAGAGTGTGCATTTGGATGAAAGATTTTCTTTGTGCATTATGAATCAAGCCACCTTCTCCTATGTGGTGTTCATCATCTAGTCATGATGTTACTTATCTGGTGATATCTGTTGGGAAGCCATTTTCCTTAATTAGAGGATCTTGGATCCATTCCACAGATGAGGGTTTGTGTACATTGTGATGCAAAGCTCCCCGTTTAATCAACTAGTTTGCTTATGGTACATTAATTGGATTGCAAGGCATGTGACATGGTACAAATGACGAGGGGTTGAATACATCAAAGTCAAGGAGTTGGGCTCATCAAATTTTTGTTTCGAATACAAGTTAACTAGATCTCAAGACTCAAGTATTGGACTAGGGTTTCAGTAAGGATCAAGCATGACCTTTGAAGTCAATTGTGATTCAACTTAGTATGAAAGTTTGAGTTGCACACAAGGATTGATTTAAGATGAACATGAAATGAAAGTTTTAAATATGATTCAAGGTTCAAATTTTACAAGGTATTTGTACATGGAGTCAAAGTTTTTCAACATCACTTTCTTCAAGTTCCACCTAATTGTTTCCATGATTTAAAATTCTATTAAATTCTATCAAATTCATCCTAAGATCAAAAAGTCATACTTTCATAAAAGTCAAATCATTGTTCAAAGGTAAACTACAGGTTGAATCCATTACAAAATTCAATGGCATTACATGAAGATTTTTACACCAAAAAAATCACAAGAAAATCTATTCTAATCATAATTCTCTAAACCAAATAACAACACATTGCAGCTTGTCCAAAACCTGCAGCAGTCCATTCAACCAGCTCACCCATTTAGAGAATAAAACCAGAAAATTTCAATAAACCAGAAACCGAGCAAATAAGAGAAATCGTATCAGGAAATAAATACCGGAAGAACAAATAGCAGGAAATCAGCATCCAAGAGAATATCAACAAATCAGAAAAACAAATATAAATCAGAAATGCATAAACAACAATAACATCAACGAATCTGCAACCGCCTCTATGATCCTTCCTCCACGTTGCTTCACCTGCAATAAACAACAAATTCATCACAGCAAGTCTTCGATTCAACCACAATAACAGCGAGAACGCGGGGAAAAACGGAAATCAGAGAGAAGAAGATTCACGAGTATTGAATTGAAGCTGAAAGAGAAAGCTATTTATATGGATTTCTTGCGTAATCGACACTGAGAAAGCTGGATTATTGTTGTGTGGACCTAGAATGGACCGAGTTCACCCTTCCCTGAGCCCATACATACTTTTTGGCAGCTTGTTTGTTAACACACCAAACAAAAAAAAACCTTGGGCTCAACCTAGATGAGCCTAGCGCCCTGTTTTGATTCACACCCATGTTTCCTGACTTACCCCCCTCTTTTTAGAGTTTGATTTAGGTTTTTATTTAATTTTATTTTCTTAATTTTTAGGTATTAAAATTTGGATTAAAGTTGGTGATTAAGGAAACAATAATGCTAACTGTTTTTTAGGATATTAGAATTGTTTTAGGACTTTTCTTTTTAGGAATAATTAGAATCTCTTCTTTTGATTTCCTTTATCATTTTTAATCGCATTTTGTACATTTTTGTCATTATCTTTTATGTAAATTGTGATGAATTTTGGTTGGTAATTTATGCTTGGTGTGTACTTGTTTTTTAGTCCTATAATTTTGTGTTGAGATGCCATGTTCCTTTAGAGAATTCATGAAACGGTTAATTCATAATTGATCGTTTTATGTTAATTAGACCTTATTAGGTCCTAAATTCAAGTATGATAACAATCAGCTAGAATTCCCTTTATCCTAACTTTAGGTCCACCATGGCATGAGAACATTAGGACTTGAGTTTCCCTTAGATTTTGATTTCTTTTGCATCCATCTAAAACTAAAATTGTTTTTCTTATTCAAATGTTGAAAACACATAACAATAATGATGCGAACCATGTGGCACGAGCCTTAAACATTGGGAGAAATATGAGGTGGTTCATTCCCAACCTTGTGCTTCCTTTCAATCATAGTATTTAATATGGTTCAAATCACCAAATTCTTTCTCAAGGTAAAAAAAGACTAAACCAATTCAAACCTTTTTCCTCCGGGATTTTCTTTTAAGAAAACCTTTTCATAAAAGGATATGTTATTTCCATGCCGCATAAACAACGAGTAAGTCTACAAAGGTCGGGAGACACTATGTCTAAGGCTAGAGTGCGAATGTAACATTGTCCGCCTAAAAAACACAAAACAAATAAAAACTTTTGAGTTGAACCACGGTGCTCTGATTCCTTAAAATGGATACTTAAGCATTGGATTACAGGACCTAAGTGATCACAACTATTTAAAACCTTTGTTTTACCTGTATTTTTCTTTTGCATTCAGACATTTCCTTTATCTTGTAAGTTTATATAGACACGCACTTTGATTAGAACAACAAGAGTGAGTCCCGTGGAGTACCACGGACATGAAGGGTGTTAATACCTTCCCCTTACATAATCGACTCTCGTACCTTTCTCTTGGTCGCAAGACCTTGTTTTCTCTCAATTTTACTCGATGTTTTCCTTTCCTTTCTTTGGGATAAAATAACATTTGATGACGACTTCATTGTTCATTTTCCTAGTTGCTTCACAACACAAGATATATCAAGAATAGTGCAAAGTGATAGAGTACAATGAATGCAAAAGCAAGTAAAGAATAAAGAATAAACACCCAATGAAAAAACAAACAAGATCTAGGACTGACTTACTTAGCTAGTCCCCAGTGAAGTCGCCAGTTGTTACTACCGTAAAAAAATATATCAAATACAATGAGACCGCCATCGAATATTTATTTATCCCAAGGAAGGGAAAGGAAAACATTGAAGAAAACCTATAAAGGAAAAGATCATGGTCACGAGATCAAGAGAAGGGTAAGGAAGTCAATTACGCAAGGAGAAGGTATTAGAACCCCTCGCGTCCAATGTACTCAACGAGATCCACTCTTGTTGTTCTAATCAAAGTGTGTGTATATAAAGCTTACAAGATAAGGGAATGCATGAATGAATTGTTACAGAACAAAAAGAGAAGTTTTTATTATTGCGCTCGCCTCAGTTTCGAAACCTCGTGCATACGTATCCCTGTCGTGCAAAAGGGAATCAGAGTATCGTAGTTCTTCTCAAAAAGGTTTCTTTGTTGGTTAATTTTAAATGAAGAGACAAGTTGTCATTTTTAAGGAGATGACTTGACTAATCACCCATAAAGTATGAGAAAGAGAGACAAACCACCAACATGAGGGAGGGTTTGGACACACTTATAGTACTCAAGTGGAAAAGTCGACATCTTTATAATCATGGGGCTAGAGGAATGGCATCTAGATTATAAATGACTCGTGTTTAATATTAAAAAAGGTTCTAAAGGAGAAAAGGGGCACGGCGGCACAAAAATGGTATGAATAAGTTGAAGTATTTTCTTAGCTTGAAAAAGGATTTTATGGTTTGAACCATATTAAAGGCTATGAATGAGAGGAAGAACAAGGTTAGGAATGTACTGCCTCATCCTTCTCCCACTACTAAAGGCTCATGAAATATGGTCCGCCTCTTTATTTGTTATGTGTTTTTGAGATTTGATAAATAGAAATAAGCTTTGTTTTTAAATGCAATGCAAAATGAAAAACAAAATCTAAGGGGAAACTCAAATCCTAATGTTGTCACACAATATGGTCCTAGAGTTAGGATATCAAAGGGAAGACTACCTAAAAGTTAACATGCATCATGGATCTAAGGGGAAGGATTGAGGAAACTTCTACCTAATGTCATCATACTTGATTTAGAACCTAAAGTCTATTTAATTCATACCTTGAATGGGATGGAACAAAACTCCTAAGGGTGCATGTTAGCACAAGAAATCAACAAAAGGAAACAAGGAGAATGAGAATGATGTCGTGATCTCAGCTATGGCATGAAACTGAGTGACTCTTCATTCACAATGAAACAAAATAATGAGGACGATGTCGTGATCTTAGTTATGGTGAAAATTGAGTGACTATCCATCCATAATAAAGAATAAACAAAAGAATGATGAACAATGTCGTGATCTCAGCTATTATGAAAACTGAGTGACTCTTTGTTCATAATTAAAACAAACATGAGAACAATGTCGTGATCTCAGCTATGGCAAAAAATGAGTGACTCTTTGTTCTCAACTAATATATGACAAAGGTAACAAAACAAATCTCATAGTATCACCTGAAAATGGCACAAAAGAAAAGAATAAATCAAGAGTATATCAAGCATCGAGTGAAAATAAATCACAAGCATAAAGTGCATTAGATAACCCCAAGGTATCAGATAAGAACTCATGTATCAGATGAAAAACCACACAGACATACAAAAATAGGATATCATAGAAATAATCCAAAGGTCTCGTATAAGATAAGAACTCAAGCCAAATAGGTTAGAACCATGTATCAGTGCTAAATGAATGAATGATATATGAAATGAATGTTTAACCAATTAATCAAGAGTTGATTAACTTAATTAATTAGGTTAAGAAAAATTAATTAGCAAGACTAATTAATTTTTAATAACAAAATTAACTAACTAAATCAACATTTGATTAATTAATTAAAAGTAACAAAGTGTGCAAATAGTAGTGAGAATTTGAGACATCTTGAAAGCTTACACAAACCATAAACAATGTTAGCAACACAAGAGAAAATGTAATAAACCAAATGAAGCTTGCCTCTAACTTACTTGGATAAGCATCCAATTCTCAACCAAAAATCAACACATGTTTGAATGAAAAGGCAAGGAAACATGGTTCAAATATGCAATTAACACTCAAATGTGAATTAAAATGATAGATGGTAAAAGGTAAGTTGCAACAAAGAGCATCATGAAAATTTCTCAATTAATCTCAAACTCATTTCAAATACAGGATAAAAGTCTCAACTCCTGAAAGAATAAGAAGAAATGGAAATGGAGTTTCATGAATCCAAACATGTTAAAATGGTTTCTCCTATCCTCAAAAGTCACATTTCATTCATTTAAACCAACAACACGTTGTAGGGATTAAAATTGGAACTCAAAATATATTCAAAATAAGAGAAACAAGATTAGAACTAAGCCTTATTCACCTAAATTGAAAATCGGGCAGCAACTACACATACATCATTATACCCCAAAAATCAATGCAAAGCAAGTTAGAAATCAAAGATAAATATTTCACAATTAAAACCAAGCTTCATTACTCAAATTCAATTTAAATGAATCAAAAATTTCATCAACATATCTTGAATTAATTAAGTAAAATGACATTAATACAACTCATTCAAATTAACTCAAGTAGCATGACAATCCTATAAAATTCACAAACATAACAATTATCATAAACAAATGACATTTTAACTCTCAAATTTAATCATAACAACATATTCATCATTTAACTCAAGGTTCTCATTCACTTTCAACATACCATTTACAACCAATAATCACCATCATCTTCAACACTTAAATCAACAACAAATATCATCATTATCAATTTCAACAATAACCCCATAACAATGTCATCACTTACTTTAAACAATAAACTCACAACATCGTCACTTTCTGTGAGATACTGGATCAAACTCTATTTGGTTGAATAGTATCTTCTGGTTCGACAGGATTTATGCATGACATCAAAGTATGTTCACATGATGGTGTCGACCTACATACTGTAGTCGAAGTATGTTCTAGTATGTGGGTGTCCAAATGCTAGGGTTATTAGTATTTCTAATTGGTCCTGCTTTTTATGTCCAATTTTTTAAGTTAGCTTGTACCCTAAGTTAGCTTGTAATGGGTATTTGTGAAAAATTCCATCATTTTAGTATGTTAGGTTTATTATAAATAGCATACTAGTCTCTCATCATTGTATACAACAAATCCTAGTTTAGGGTGAGAGCGTTATTTGTTACTCTTGTTTACTTGTAATCTTGTTTGAAGGAAAAGTAAAGAATAACAGTTAATAACCAATTCCTTGTGTTCTTCTTGTTTTTCTATCTTTTCTACCCTTTGTGTGTTTCTTGATCATAGAGAAACGATTTAAAATTT